TGCGAACCCTTTGTTAAGCACACCTGTGACCTTTGCCAGCTCTGCAAGCGCTGCAAGGCACAGGCCCTGCAAGGAAAACGTGTTGCATCATTTATGGCTCCACGCCTTGCAGTTTTCGCCCTTTGTGATCTGTGTGGCGAGCTGCTCGGTCGTCGCGGCTCTTGGCTTAATAGCGGGTGGAAACCGCTTGAGGGAAATGTAGGTGATGTGCGAATCGAAAGAGGAGCCAGCCTTGTGGCGGAACAGGGAGGGCATCTCCGAGCGGGGGCGAAGGGAATGGATGGGGAGGATTGCTTGTGCATGTTTCATTGTTGGAGGCTGAAGTCTGTGGTGATTGCCATGTTGTCTTGCCTTAGACAAGACGGACGTTTAAACATTGTTGTGCTAGTACCTTAGGTATTTTTGCTTGGTGAGGCTGCTGCCTGTGCAATGCACTCGTTGCTGTTTTCTGCCCATTTTGTTCATTTCCTGGGCTGCCTGTTCAGAATTTCTATGTCCACTCCTGGATCAGGTCCAATCCATTTGGTATCCATGACCCGGTGTCGTCATCCATTGCCTCATTTCACTTCGTCTGGGAAGCCAGTCTGCGAATGCAGGGGTACATCTCGTACTTCATACGAAATCTTGAGAATTTACTTTCTGCGTTCGTGCTGTACGTGTGTGCTGAATGACAACTTGGCTCATGCATTGAACACCATCGGTTGACTCCATTGATAACATCCATACATTCTATGGATGGTAACCGGGCTTAGAAAACCGGACCCCGTGTACCCGGAATTTTCCGGAACTTGGGTACCCTGGTGTACCCGGGTAACCCGGGTGCACTCGATACCCGGGTAATCACGAATAACTGGGTAGCCGGGTACAACCAGTACACGGATCCGGCTATATACCATGCTGCGGCGTGCGCTTTGCTGGCTTCTGTCTAACGAAGTCCACAACCGCGAAGCTGCAAACGGTGCAAAGTTTGCGGATGGAGGGGTTGGCTCCCGTCCGTTGCCGCGAACATGGTATTTTGCGGACGGACGGACGGTGCGTCCGGGGGAAAGGGCGGGGTAGCAGGCCTACCCGGGAGGGGGGTGGGAGGCACGAGATCTGCAGCGGATTTCCGCTTATGCACGGCGAAGCGTGGTGCCCACTTTGGCTTCTTGGGGGCGCCGATTGATGCCACTCGCGGGTGCCATCAGGGCACCCGCGGGTGGTACCAGTCGGTGGCCGCGAGGAGCAAAAGGGCGGGAGTGGGAGCCAATGCTCGGCCTCCCAACCCTGCTGTTCCAATGCGTGTTTTTTGCCCTCAAGCTCTGGGCGCTGCGCAGGTCGTAGTTGACCTTTGGCATCCGCCCCTCGTGGGTACCGATTATGCAATTCGGGGATGCCAATCAGGGCACCCGCGAGTTGCGCCAATCGGTGGCCGCGAGTGGCAGCAATGCGGGGGTGGGAGCCAACACTCGGGCTCCCACTCTCGCCGTTTTGTGGTGGACACAGCCACACACAGTGTAGATGGGGGTGACCTTCGCGGAAACCAACGTGGTGCGAAGCAACGCACCGAACGACGGCTGGTCAATTGTGCAATACCCGGATAGGCCGGGTACCCGATTGTACCCGGATAGGCCGGGTACCCGACTGTACCCGCCTATGCCCTGGCACGTACCCGTACCCGCCTACCCGGGTACGGGTAGGCGGGTGCAAGAAAAAACAGTACTCGGCCCAGGTACCCGGGTATCCTGTATTTGCATGCACTACATACGTCATCCAGGGAGTTCGTGGCGATCCAGCAGTGTACAAATTTCCCTGTACTTCCCATGCATACACAAACTTTCCACATCTTTGTGCAACGCGCAACTGCTGTCTGAGCAACTGATCAGCCTCCAGTCCGACATGGCTCTGACGCTCCTTGCCGCCTACTGACACCATCAAGCGTTGCAGTGCAAACTGTATACTTAACTACTTAACTATGTAATATAGTTAGTATTACTATACTATCTGTGTCGATTTCTCCTTGGGCGTCGTGTCCATTGCAACAGCTTCGCTGCCTGTGTCCGCAGCCATGGGGCAGGGACCAGCTGCGCTCCCTGCTCGACAGCTGCGGCATGCACATGGGCGACGGCGATTTCGAGGCCACCTTCCGGAGCGCCGGCGGCGAGTCGCAGGGCGGCACATGCTGCATCGACAGCTTCATGGCCGAGCGATACAAGCGCCTCGCCCAAGAGAAGCAGATCGCGTGACAGGACACAAACTGGATGGGGAGTTCACGGGAATCGAAGGCCTGCACAGATCAAGCTATGGGCAACGCCCACCACTTTCCCTGCCCTCATATGCCCCTCATAAGGGCCTCGTTCTGCCATCTGTAGGCAAACGCAATCGGCGCAAATCAGGCTTGTTTACGTTCATTTTTACACGTCAGAACGTAAATTTGGAACAGGGCTATTTTTACGGCTGTATTTACGTTTTATGCCTCTTTGTGACACCCACGTTACACGATGAAAGTCAGTACAAAGTTCAGTCGTCCGCCATCTTCAGTCGTCCGCCATCTCCAGCACCCGCAACACAGCGTTCACTTCGCTCTTGGCAAGGGCCACTGCGGCCTGGAACAAGAGTCCGTTTTGTGCCCATTCCAGCGCGTCTGGCCACCACTCCCCGGACTCCCTATGTCCGTATGTACTGTACTTATGTACGCGGGGCTGTATTTACGTTGTATTTACTTATTTTTACGCGTTTTCATGCGTAACAATGTAAATACAATCAGTTTTTACGGCGTAAATAACAAGCCTGGCGCAAGTCATTCCCAAAAGGCTCGCGCTCTCAAAATATTACAAGTGGTGGCATGCACAGGAAATGGACTGGGTCAGACCCTGGGCGCACGCGCCACCGAACTAAACTCATTCTTTGAAATCCAAGTTTAGCTTTCACCCAAATGCAGCAGGTTCCCCAGGGGCAGGCTGGCCCGCTCTCAGAAGGCGTTGCACGCCCTGCAGATCCCGAAAGCGACATGCTACACGCTTCCCTAATGTACAGCATCGAAATCCATCCCACCTGAGCCCACATGGCCCCGAGCTTATCCCACAAGGCATGGGCGACGCCCTTCGGGCCCCGCCACCCAAGGGCCCAACGTTGATACACATTTAGAGTCAGACACGCCCAGCCTCAGTTTGGCAACCCCAGAGTCACGACATAGCCTCGTTGCTCCCGGGCCTGATTGTACTTTGCACAAGGATGTAACATCTTGACACCCCCAGAGCCAGCATGCCGAGAAGAAGTAGTGAAGAAGCTTCTCCCGCCGGTCACGCCGCGTATCATGCGCACAGCATGACGTCGCGGCGAGCAGCGCCGTGCCTCGAACGGCCGGTGTGCCACGGGGCCACGACTCCACCGTCTCAGAATCGATCCCGAAGGTCGTAGGAGCCCTTCAAACCGCGATCTAATGCACAGCCGGGGCACCGCGCGTTAGCAGTATGCTTTGAACACAGTTATCAGTCAGATGTTTGATCATCAGCCGCACATGCCTCGAACACAGTTCTCCAGTCAGAGGGTGCAAGCCTGGCCACCTGCGAGGCGGCGAAGTGCTGGGGCCCAGAAGCAGCGTTCTTTTAAAATTATTATCATCATCTTTGATGCTCTTACAAAATTCGTTCTTGAATCGCCCCCAATGTCCATGTGCCAACGAAGAATGCCTCTACACATGTTGTTGAAACATACGACTGCAGAAGCGAGTTCGCTTCTATGAGAAAAGTAAAAAATTTTGATAGTTCAACGCTTATGCACTGGTTTCCATGGAGCACCAAACATCCAAACAGTCTGTTGTCTGTTTGCAATCATACAATGACATCGTACATTCTATGCCACTTGCACGCTGTGCCACTTGTCAAGTGGCATGAGCACAGATTCGATTTCCAGAACACGGTGGAGAAATGGAAACGAGTGGCGTTCACAAAGAGCTACAACAGCGACCAAGCAGATACAGCCTTCCTCTTGGGCCATCCTATCTCGTCGCGTCCAGCGATACAATAGACAAATGCGATTCTCTGCCAACATTCGCACTTTGCTCCTTCAACAACCATCTCGCCTTGTGCTGTCACCTGTAGCTGCTAATCAAAGCCACACTTTACTGCACTTCTTCGTTGCATCTGTGAAGTGCGACATGGTCACAAACACAAGGAAACGGAGGCTGTGGTTGTGTAAGAGCCCGTCATTGCCTGAAAAGGTGGAACGGCGATACCTTGCTCTGGAAAGACGGGTGAGAGTGCGCAATACGAACAACAACAAGGAATCAACATAGTTACAGACGCTGCGAGAGTTTTCGACACCATCACACAGCTACATGATGACCCCAAATGACTATGCAACTAGGGATCAATCCTAGCAAAAAAATTACAAGCCAGCAATGCAACAAACAATGGTTTCACACGAATGGGCGCACAACTTACAATCCTCTCCCCCGAAATCGTCGTATAGGCCTCTGCCACTGCCCTGGTTGGTCCCATACTCATCGTACTTCCCACCGCCCCTGTGGGCCTGAGCGTCCCCGTCGTTGTAGCGGCCCCCTCCCCCACGTGGGCTCCTTGAAACCGTGGACAGCGACAGGCCTCAGCAAAAACACAGTCACCGCCAACAACAGTGGCACGCCAGGGCAGTGGTTCATATACTTTAGGATTTAATCACCAGTTCCTGTGTCATATGAAATTTGTACTGTGCTCAACACCGAGAAGACAATTTTCGTTACAAATATGTACGTCATTTCACGACAACAACTACAATCTTGACACTGACTCATCAATGTACACTGGTGCGTGGGTCACCTGCACGCATTCTGGGAACTGTGTGCTCACAAAAATGCCCACCAGCGCCCGGCTTTATATTAATACAAGGTCTGTGATAGCATGTTCTGTAGTAAATATGATAGCGCATTGTCCTACATAACAAAATGATAAAAAATTACATTGCGGTCAAGAATGTAGGTGCTGCCCACCACCCAACACGAAAAAGAAGGGCCTTGTCCTACCTCACACGAAAGTGTGAGACGATGCAGGAGAGGAAACTCAGTCGAAAGTACAACATTAGCTGAAACCTGATTGCATAAAAGTGACTGCACAACTTTAAGGAAGCAGTTGTTTCTACGCCTCTGGCAGGGCCTGGCAAATCAGCAATTGCAACCAATCGCGTTGCCGTGTTGATTCCAACAATCCGAATCGGGCGAGCCCACTTGTGCCTTCCGCACTACATTGGGCCATGCTTCAAATGGCAACAGTGGCAGTCCAAACATCACATCGCAAACAGCCAAAATCGGCAATGGGCTGACAGGAAAGAACTCAATGATGGGCTGGCAATGTACACACATGGGATGCGGATCCACATGACATGAGATGACATGAGATGCTTCTAATTGCGATCCACTGATCTGCCCTTGGGGCAAGCCAACACAAATAAACTAGGAGTCAGTGGGAACAGCACACAGGGCATAGTGTGCACGAAGCTGCAGCACCATTGCTTTGGGTTTAAGACTTTGTTGGCCCAGGCATGTGCAATGATAGGAAAAAGCATATCTCCAATGTCCCTTGTTCCATTGTGAAGATTGAAGTTTTATTTGACTGTCACAGATTATGGGGATAACTCGCGAGCAATCCATTTGGCCAAAGCAGAGAATCAATCTGCCTTAAAACCAGCCACCATATAAAGCAAAAGGCACTCCCCCGACTAAATTGTTGATGTAAGTTAAACAGAAAAGGGAAGGGAAACATCTCAGAAAAAAATGTTTATCACATTTAGACCACACTCTTCCCTGTGCTCCATGTCCCCTGAACCAACTCAGAAACGATCATTTACCTTTGTCCATAGCTGTCTCTGGGCTCCCCATAGTCTGCAAAGCCCCTTGGCCGCCCATCGCGAGCAACCCCACCAAAGCCCCTGTGCAGCCCGCCATCTTCGTTGTTGCCACCCAATTCAGCCATACGCTGACGCTCAGATGGCCGGATTCCTCCCCCAGCATGGGCCTTTTGAACAGCCAGTTTCTGTAACAAGGGTCTATTTCAGTCAGGGTGTTTTGAAGAAGCAAATGGAGCTGAGCTGCTGCTGGGCAAGCAGGGTGTTGAAAATCCGGCCCTCAGATTGAGTTCAGGTGGGCAATAATGGGCCCATTTACACAGAAACACAGGAGAGTTTAGGTCTCTGTTCCAATTCTTGCACTCACATCTAGGGTCAATCCATTGCACAGCAGTCCATCGCCTTGCAAGTTCTTGCAGGGTAACACAAAGGCACAGATCTATTGTAGGGTGATGGTTGCCAGCTGACCTTGCGTGTGCTGTGATACTCTGGAGAAAAACACGCTGCCCAGACAGTGTTCCATTTGGTAACGTGATTGGCCATGCTCAGCGTCAGTAATCAGGGCAAGATTTAGGAACAGAACGGCTGGAACAAGGCCTGCAGCAGGTGAAGGGGACAGTCTCAAGAGTGCCAACTGGATGGGCTTCCACAACAGCCAGAGAATTCTATTTAAACAGGGCACAAATGGCTACCAACGTTGCCGCATGTACATAGACGCAACCTGCATACCTACGCCCTTGCCTACAAGCGAAGGGGGTCCATGTGATTGACCAACGATGGATCGTTAAAGGCTACAAATGAGTAAGGGTGGCTGAAGAAGGGGCCAACAAGGGCAGGTGGTTCGAAATAATGGCTACGCAGTCGCATCTAGTGACGCATCTAGCTATGTTCATGGCAACTAGCATTAGGAGTTCGTTGTTGAAAGATGTCAGCTAACCATTGGCTGATCAGTTGTGCACCTGTGACTTGGCCCCTGACTGCTGCGCCGTCCAATGTGCTTGCAGTTTTCACCAAAAGATTTGCAGCATTCATAATACGTAGAGCTTCGCACGGGACCAATAATGCGTTCCCAGCAGAGCCTCAATCACCAGATCGCCCACCCCATTTCCAGGCTTGGGGAATTGATAAGAAAACTATTAAGGAACCAGAAAACTATCAAGACAAAAGGGCGAAACAATAATGCCAAAAAGGCCGCTGGTGGCTCAGGGACGCCAACCAAAGTACTGGAGGCGGGGTGCAAAATATCAAGGCACCCCCGCCCAACTCGCCTTGCGGAATCCAACAGGGGGGGGTAGGCAGCGAGCGGGACCTCTGCCCGGGGCCCCGGGACGTGCGCGGCGCCCCTGGCGCCCCGCACCTCGAAGGAGATCAGCAGGCTGTTCAGCTCCCGCTGGCGGGCGTCCAGGTCGACGCGCAGGGTCCTGATCGCCTCCTCGTCGGTCGCCTGTTCCAGCGTGCGCTTCGCCTCAGCCACCGCCTCCTCCGCCTCCCTCTGGTCCGATATCTGCTGTGGCGACAGTCGGATCTGCACAAACGCGGGATCAGCTAAGGAAAACAACAAAACAACCAGCAAACACAGAAAACAACAAACAAATTTTTCGCGCGGCCCGCGCCCGGGGCGGATTCGGATGGATCTTGCAGCGGGAAAGAGGTGTCATATTTCTGCGCCGCCTCACGTGCAGCCGCTCGTGCTCCGCCTCCTGCTTGAGTATGTCCGCCTCCGCCATGCCCGTGCGCTGAGCCAGAACCTCCTCCCGGGGCTTGGCGTCGCCGAAGATGCTGCTCTGCACCCCAGCAGCAAGCCAGATCCTCCGTGAGCCCCCAAAGACGCGTGTACAGTTTCGACGGCCTCTCAGAGGCTCGACAAAATGCCCCCCAGCTGGGAGCGATCGCGGATCAAAATCTGCTTTTGACGAAAGGCGCGGCATGCAGACGCGACGTTGATTGTCAATAGATTTTAGTGCAGTCCGTTCAAAAGCAAAAGCAACAACAACCCCATGCAACTCTACGCCTTCGCACGGGCCGCTTGAACCCTGACCCGTTGCCAAGGTGTGAGGGGAAGGCAAACACGCCCGTGGACTCGTTACAAACCATGGGCTTCAATCCCTCTGAACTAAAGAGATGCTTTCGATCAGCGACACTGGGGCCCCAGAGAGTCGATCTGTGCCCGTCCAGAGTACCCACCAAAGGGCTGATCAGCAACTTTTGAGGGGAGGCGCCCCCTGTGCGCACGCACGTGTGTTCTGGGTCGGTTTGTCGCACCTTTCCCGTTTGCGCCAGCTGGCGCGCCTTCTCCTCGTTCCTGGGGTTCAGGACGAGCCGCCGGCGCTGCGGCGGGCCCGCGCCCTCCGCCCTCTCCTCGGGGTGGCCTTCCATTTGCCGCCTGTGTTGCGGAGTGGAGAGGATTGGGGGGCAAAGGGAGCGCTGCTAATATTTACCACGTGGGGTTACGACCAACCTCGTCGTACAGAGGGCGTCCGCCTGCAGAGGCCGTCGTCGCATAGCGAGTGGTATTTTCACCTCTGCTATACAATGATGGTGGTACAGTCGGGTGCAGCTGTTCCCAGCAGTGAGACTGGTTGTATCCACATGGGTTCGTTCGGTTGCAGGGATGGTACCGGTGTCGTATCGGGGATCCCAATACCCGGTATATACACCCGGGCGTGCATTTAAATTGGTGAAATTCCATTACAGCCAGCCAAAGTGTTTGTCTCTATGCACAATCCAAGACGGGGCCTATTCACAAGAAATGCGATGTAGGGCGATTGGTGTCCACAACTGTTCCTAATAATCCCACTCAAGAATGTCCGCAGCGCCTCGTCCAAAGCCGATGCATAGGAGCACTTTGGAAAAAGAAAAGAACAGAAAAGAGAAGAATGGAAAAGAGCATTTGAATCTATCCCGCGACTCAGACAAAACCCAGATCATGTTCTCCATCCCCATGAAGTGCCCCCCTTTTGTTTGTCCCAAATGACTTTGATGCAGCGAATGAATGTGGCCACAATGGGAAGACTGCTTCGGACCACGGCTGACAGCTCCCATGGAATATCTTCCTCCAGCTAGTTGCGGAGCATCTCCTGACAGTGTACTCGGATGTGATCGTACTTGGGACAAACGGTGAAAATGTGATGACGATCTTCCATTCCCATATTGCAGAAGCGACAGGTCGGGAGCGGAGTAAGCTCCTTTTTGAAGAGAAAGCTATGGCAAGGGAAGTGGTCAACGAGAAACTGAGTACGACGGAAGAAGTGCTCCTAGAGAGGTGTCGAGTCCAGTGCAATGAAAGACGGAAGCGCCACCCGCAGTCTCGAAGCCCTTGTCCAGTAGAGAGAGATGTCCAGCATGCCTCCACGCACTGGCAAGAATGTTTGAACAATCTAGCTTTCACTAATGTTGTATAGTGTGGTAGTGAACGCTGTGTAAAATGGCCGATTGTTATATACACCGGCGTGATGTGGGGGACGCCCTACTAATGGCCCCTTGGTGTAGGGGACGCCCTGCCCAAGGTGTGGTAAAATATCCCCAACCCACTTATATGATATGGGATTAGGTTGGGGTGGTCCCGCCTAGGTCCCCGTAAGGATTTAGGTACCCGGCGAGGCGGGTCCATGGCTCAAAGAGGGCAGGAGCCCCACACCAACAATCCTCACATTAGAGGTGGCCCCTTCTGTCCGTCCACAACAGAATTTGGTTGGCTCCGTTAAAATTCCGTACAGTCAACGGAATCCGCGAGCGGGCCACAGAGAGAAAAACTGTCTAACAGAAACTGGCGGGGCCATACTGACGTCAGCATAGACGGCTACAGAGATCCACACAACCTTACAGAATGGAACCACGTGTTACGGAATCCTTGCGGGCGTCAACAGAGGACAGGCCCCCCATAACGGAACCGCTGACCAAATCACAGAGGTCGACAGAATTCCATCAAAGTTTGCGGAGCAACACACACCTATGAAACGCGTTGAACACCAGTACAGAAATTCCAATGCCGTTCCGTTGAAATTCTGTAAGACGGACAATCCCAGAGGCCTGTACTTTGGCAAAGGTGATGGATAACAGCCGCAGAGCGGGTCCCGTTCCCGGACCGGATGGCCAGACGCGTGGTTGAGTGCGCAACGGGTATGCATGGCGGACGTGGGGTGCGATTGCCTGGGTCTTTGATGGATTCGGCAGTGCACGCTGGTCGCCCCCGTGGCATATCCATGTGCACCTTCAAATCGTTGTTGTCTGTCACGCAGGTAGAATGTACGCCCAAAGCGTTCCCAAACCCAGTACATTCGATTGGATGGAATGTGATGTGTTGCCCCTGGGGTAAGTGAAGTGCTGCGTCGGGGGCCCCCCACCGCCAGTTGCTCCCATGGCGTCGGTACCCTCAGGTGAGTGCCGCGGGCACCGTGCCGGTGGTGATGGCGTCGGTGGGGCAGGGGGATTGCTATTCTGCTCGGCTACAGTACCGGCCATGGCTTGGCCGGGAAAGAAGCCACTGTTGCTGGGCTCATGGTGTGCATGGGCGGTTGTAGCTTCTCCGAGATCGTGTTGTGGTGGGGCGGGGGAATTGCTGTTCTGCTCGGCAAGAGTACCGGCCGTGGCCTGGCCGGGAAAAAGCCGCTGTTGCTGGGCTCGTGGTGTGCATGGGCGGTTGTAGCTTCTCCGAGATCGTTTCGGGGTGGGGCAGGGGGATTGTTGTTCTGCTCGGCTGAAGTACCGGCCGCGGCTTGGCCGGAAAGGGTTGTTGTTTTGTGAAAGCTCTGGGTGGATGGGCATTTGCTAACGTGCTCTATTTTCTCCAATGCAGGCTCTGGCCGTGAGGCTGCTACACCAGGGGATAATGCAGGTAGGGGGGTTTAATGGTTGACTGCTGCTTCTCCAAGATCGTGTTGTGGTGGGGCGGCGTGAATGCTGTTTTGCTCGCCTGGAGTACCGGCCGCGGCTTGGCTGGGAAAAAAGCCACTGTTGCTGGGCTCGTGGTGTGCATGGGCGGTTGTTGCTTCTTCGAGATCGTTTCGGGGTGGGGCGGGGGGATTGTTGTTCTGTTCGGCTGAAGTACCGGCCGCGGCTTGGCCGGAAAGGGTTGTTGTTTTGTGAAGGCGCTGGGTGGATGGGCGTTTGCTAACGTGCTCTATTTTCTCCAATGCAGGCTCCGGCCGTGAGGCTGCTACACCAGGGGATAATGCAGGTAGGGGGGTTTAATGGGTGACTGCTGCTTCTCCAAGATCGTGTCGGGGTGGGGCGGCGTGAATGCTGTTCTGCTCGGCTGGAGTACCGGCCACGGCATGGCCGGGAAAGAGCCGTTGTTGCTGGGCTTCTGGTGTGCATTAGAGGTGGCCACCCGGATCCGTTAATAGCGGACAGAGGTTAATTTCCGTTAATTTTCCGTTAATTAACGGAAAATAACGAAAAAAGACAAAAATTAACCAAAAATTAGCGGATTTTTGGATTTTTTGGGGATTTTGGGTTTTAGTCATACTTATAGTTTATGGAATTCGCTATTAGAGAGTATGTTTGTATTTTATTTCAACCTATGCATACTAGATTTTCAACTAGCCGCAATTGTTGTGATTTTTTGGGTTTTTTCTCGATTTTTTTGGATTTTTTTCGTTTTTTCTGAAATTTTCTCCCTTTTTCTTTAACGAAATTTAACGGACAGCTGATAAAAATTAACGAACCGGATTTAACTGACCGGATGGCACCTTTGAGTGGCCACCTCTAGTGTGCATGGGCGGTTGTTGCTTCTCCGAGATTGTGTCGGGTTGGGGTGGGGGGATTGCTGTTTTGCTCGGCTGGAGTACCGGCCGTGGCCTGGCCGGGAAAAAGCCATTGTTGCCGGGCTGCCAGTGTGCATGGGCGGCTGCTGCTTGTCCAAGATCATGCCAGGGCGGGGCAGGGGGATTGCTGTTCTGCTCGGCTGGAGTACCGGCCGTGGTCTGGCTGGGAAAAAGCCGCTGTTGCCAAGCTCGCGGTGTGCATGGGCAGCTGCTGCTTTTCCCATCGTGTCCCTACTGGTGGTATTTGTCTGTTTTGGTGCATGACCATCTTGCTGGGTGTGTACTTCATTGTGTATGTGTGGCATACGCAGGCAATCTGATTAACGCTGCGGAAGGCGCCAAGGCCAGGACCTCCAAGGGCGGCACCCCGGCAGCCTCAACAGGGAAGAGAAAACGTAAGTTGACCTTGGAATCCAAGGCTTAAAAGTTGCTACATATTGGTGTTCTTGTCTGCAGTTTGGTGTTGTGTGCACTGGAACAGGAGTTAGTGGTGGACGATGCACTTTCCTAAATGTCCGTCATGCATATATTATCTTGCTGCACGGGCCCCATGCGATGGGGCTTTGTTTTTCTTGTATTCCTGCGGTGCTGGCAGTTTGTTGGTCTATGTGGCCTCAGTACCGGCCGTCCTTTTGCCGGGAAGGGCAGAGTACCAGCCGCACATTGGCCGGGAAATGCTGTGCTATCATGTCGCGAAGAGTGCTGGCCACGCAGATGAGCTGGCGCGTCTCTGACTGTATGCTTGCATATTTGTTTGTCCATCTTCATTGTTGCTAGACACATTGGCCCAGTTCAGTTTGGGGATGTTGTATTGGGGTTGACGCCATGCTTTTCCATGTGCAGGCATCCTCCGCATCATCAGAACGGAGTTTTTCAAAATCCGGCTTGGTGGTCGCCGCGAAAAGGATGGTCATGACCCCTGCTAATGTCGATAGGTGAGGTGGCGCGTCCCTAGCTGTCCACTTGCATATCTATATGTCCATCTTTGTTGTTGTTGAACCCATTGGCGAAGTCTAGAGCAGGGATGAAGGTATGCTTTTTTTTGTGTGTGCAGGGGGTCATTGGTGGGATGGTACATGCAGTGCCAAGGGTGGGAAGACCGCCACGAAAGGAAAAAAAATAGAAAGAGCATGGCAGCACGCACCAGGATACGGAGGTGTGTAACTGAGCGCAGGAAGTCAAAGACGTCATCGAGGACCACATCAAAGTCCAAGGCATCAGATGACGAACCATGACGAATTTGTTTATAGTTGCTGCAAGTGAATGTGTGCATTTGGCAAAGGATTACTAGCTATTCATTAGCACAGCGAGTACCGGCCGTGGGTTGGCCGGGAAAACGCAGCGGGGGATTGCCTTGTACCCCAGGGTATGTTTATATATGTAGTCTAGCATTTGCAAGGGATGGCCAGGAAAGAACGGCGGGTTGCATCCCCTGTGGCAAGGAGTACCGGCCATGGGTTGGCCGGGAAAACGCAGCGGGGGATTGCCTTTGGGCCCAGGGTGCGTTTATGTACATAGTTTAGTGTTTGCAAGGGATGGCCGGGAGAGAACAGCGGGTTGCGTCCCCGGTCTGGCAAGGAGTACTGTTCGAGGCAGCATTTATGATGGCAT